AGAGAGAGAGAGAGAGAGAGAGAGAGAGCTAGAGAGAGAGATCTAGAGAGAGGAGAGAGAGAGAGAGAGAGAGATACCACCAGAGACGAAGAGAGATCGAGAGAGAGAGATAGCTCTGGAGAGGCGAGAGAGAGAGAGAGAGAAAGAGAAGAGAGAGTTTTCACAGTCGTTTAGATAGCGACTGTAGGTCACTGTGGGTCACCGCCTCAGTTGTCATACTGCAATATTCATACTTAAGGCTGACAGGCGATCGCTCCTTTCTCGACACCTGTTATCTTACAGTCTGTATGATATCAGGTATCGTATAGTGTACAATACCTGTTATCCTATTGTCTATACGACGCCTGGTAGGCTAGAACATGTGTAAAACCTGCTATCCTACAGCCTGTGCAACACCTGATATCCTACAGCCGGTGCAACACCTGCTATCCTACAGACGGTGCAACACCTGATATCCTACAGCCTGTGCAACACCTGATATCATACAGCCTGTGTAACACCTGTTATCCTACAGTATATAATATGCTTTTCCCTAACCTGTTTCCATGTTATGATAACCTTCTATCTTGCAGACCCAGTACCATACCGCTATAGCCTGTTATCCTACTATCTCTTAGTCATCTGGCCCGTCTCGTCTAGTCCATTATACTGCCGTACAAAAACTGATATCACCTTCTACTCGCTATCTCTTCATATCTACCTTGCTCTTCCCACCCATTAATTATCCAAATCAACGAACACTGACAAACATTGAGACTATGGAATTGAACTCGGGTCCGCAACTATCCGTCTAGGAAGTCGATGGAACCGAAGTCGATGCCGTTGTTCGATTTCGTTATGCCGTTGTTCGATTTCGTTGTGCCGTTGTTCGATTCCGTTGTGCCGTTGTTCGATTTCGTTGTGCCGTTGTTCGATTTCGTTGTGCCGTTGTTCGATTCCGTTGTGCCGTTGTTCGATTTCGTTGTGCCGTTGTTCGATTTCGTTGTGCCGTTGTTCGATTTCGTTGTGCCGTTGTTCGATTTCGCTGTGCCGTTGTTCGATTTCGTTGTGCTGTTGTTCGATTTCGGTGTGCCGTTGTTCGATTTCGTTGTGCCGTTGTTCGATTTCGTTGTGCATTGATACATTTGTCAGCCGAACACCTGGGTATTGAGCCAAAGGCGAACACAGTGCTTACGTTAGATGTGAAGCAGGTTCCCTGTGTTATGACAGGTAGTAAATACTATGGGAGAAGTGGGTGGATGTTACGGGCATACTCCATCTACGGGCATACACAAGGGGGTATGGGGCTACGAGCATACTTCATATATACTTCATATATTATACCTGATAGTATATGTTATATAGGGGGGTCTCGTCGTTGGCTTCTTTCTTAAACTCACAATCGGGGGATCCCGGGATCGATTCCCGGGACAGAAACGGTTGGGCACGTTGACTCTCACCTAATGCCTCTGTTCACCTAGCAGCACATTAGGTTCCTCTCGAGTTGAGCAACTATCCTGGAGTTGTAATCTTGGGTAGAACAGGATTTAGACCGGATGGGGGCTCCCCGATACATATCTAAACTATATATACAGGCTTCCTGTCCCAGACATCGGAATTGAATATGATGTTACAGGATTAGCTGTAATTAGATTACTATATATATATATATATATATATATATATATATATATATATATATATATATATATATATATATATGTATATATATATATATATATATATATATATATATATATATATATATATATATATATATATATATATATATATAGAGTAAAGGGTATAGAATGTCTTTAGGGTGAGATTACCTTGAGGTAAGGCTCGACCTTGACGCCTGAAAGTTGTTTCGTGGATTAATGTGGCCATGACCCGGTCTCTGACCAGGCCTCCTGTTTGGTGGTCTGGTCAACCAAGCTGTTAGATGCCGCTGCTCGCAGTCTGACATGAAATTACAACAAGTTTGATCATTTGGGAAGTGATTATCATATTTTGAACACCGACGGGGTGTTTAGTCATTGCGTCTCCTTGAGGCTACCTTGAGGTGCTTCCGGGGCTTAGTGTCCCCGCGGCCCGGTCGTCGACCAGGCCTCCTCGGGCGTGGACGCAACCCCGGGTACCACAAGGTGTAGAATTTGCTTGAAAAACTAATCCGCTACTATTGTTTCGCTGTGGTTAACCCGGCTTGTGTACCTAACACCTGGCAACTCATTCTACACCGTCACCCGGGCAGCGCCCTGTGTTTTTTTCACACTCTGATCCCACCTTTTCCACCCCACCCCCCTTCCACACTCCCCTTCCATACCCCTCTTCCACACCCCCTCCCACCATGTCTACCCCACACCACAACTGGTCTCGTCTCTCAATGAATAGTGACGAAGGAGCGTTTTGTTGTTTATTCATTGTCATGAACGAGATACGTTGATGAAAAGTATGAAGGATGAAGTAGTTTGTATGTTCGTATATTTATGGTGAGAGAGGAAATAGTCTTGTGTGATGTTCCCCACCCCATGTGTACTTCACAACTTCTGTCTACATACTTCTCTCAGTCCTTTGTGTAGGACTGTTCACCTTATCTTTAATTACGTATCATTAGCCCTAACTAATTTTCTTACTGCTATTATTATTATTATCATGAGTATTAGTAGTATTTTCATTATCATATAATGAGGTGTAAGCTTAGTGTTGAAAGTAATCTGGTAATTCATATTTCGCAGGATATACAAGGAAGAATAACTGAAGACCTCTGCTACCCACTACCACCCACCTAAGGATTACCCAACTTCCACCACCACTATCACCCACCTAGCCACCACCACTACCACCCACCTAGCCACCACCACTACCCACTGCCTCACCACTGTGGTGCATGCTAAGGGGGTCCACTTACAATGCTGTTCTCACCCGCGCCACTGTTTCCTGTGGTTGGTCCACCTGAAGCAAAGCAAGAAGTTCTCAATCAACTTCGTGTACCCTCAGAGTTTCGCCTACCCCAATGGCAGCCACCACCACTGCAGCTGCTGCGTCTACTACAGTAGGAGCTGATGGTACTCGAACCCCTGTCTCACCGATGCTTGTGTCGATTTCACCAGCCACCACCACCACCACCACTCCTAATCTCACCACAACCACTATAACCACCTCCAATCACAACAACAACCGCACCCCAACAACCAGGACCACCCAAGCAAACACCACTACCACTACTACTAACACCAGTTCCGGAACCATCCGGCCCCCCACCACCATCGCTACACGTACACCCACTACCGCTACCACCTCCTCACGTACACCCACCACCCCTACCACCTCCACACGTACACCCACCACCCCTACCACCTCCACACGCACACCCACCACCCCTACCACCTCCTCACGTACACCCACCACCCCTACAACCACCACCACGCGCACCACCAACACTACCACCACCACTACCACCAGTACTACACACCTCTCCCCGTGGTCAGGTTCCACCACCTCTTCCACTCACAAGAAAAACACATATGATTCCAGACTTGTAGTGCTTGGAGCCCCAGCAGTCGGGAAATCTGGTTAGTAAAATAATATATTTATATATGGAGAGAGAGAGAGAGAGAGAGAGAGAGAGAGAGAGAGAGAGAGAGAGAGAGAGAGAGAGAGAGAGAGAGAGAGAGAGAGAGAGAGAGAGAGAGAGAGAGAGAGAGAGAGACAGACAGACAGACAGACAGACAGACAGACAGACAGACAGACAGACAGACAGACAGACAGACAGACAGACAGACAGAGAGACAGACAGAGAGACAGAGAGTCAGACTAGAGGTTGTATATTGGCCTCCTTTCGAATATTTATGTCTTGCCTTCCTGATAAAAAAAAATTGACTCATAGATTATTTTCATAATTTGTTTTGTAATTTCAGAATTGTTTAGGCGACATATGGAAATTTTGTCGTGTCTAAGGCTTAGAACTGTATCTTCGTTCTCACTTTATTGCATGTTTTAATTTTAAGTCAATACTGAAAGTCTGTTTAGTGTTTAAATCTTCTTGTAATGGTTCAGGGTCCAGATTCACGAAGCAGTTACGCAAGCACTTACGAACCTGTACATCTTTTCTCAATCTTTGGTGGCTTTGTTTACAATTATTAAACAGTTAATGAGCTCCGAAGCACCAGGAGGCTGTTTATAATAATAACAACGGTTGAATGGCAAGTTTTCATGCTTCTAAACTGTTTAATAAATGTAACCAAAGGCATCAAAGATTGAGAAAAGATGTACACGTTCGTAAGTGCTTTCGTGAATCTGGCCAGTCTTAATTTACAGCTCACCCTATTTTAGCGTCAGCGACAGATTAATAATACTGCTATTCATTCAATTATCTAAATCATTTTCTGAATTTGCTGACTAGTAAAGGTCCCAGGAGCGGCCCCTAGGACACTCCCAAATGCTCTGCTCGAAGGTAGAAAAAGCCTAAGCTTCTCTTTCCTTTTGAGATGTACTTTCCTTTTCTCAGTAAAGTTATTGGCAACTATCCTTACTGCTAACGGGTGCGTTGTTCTCATGACTGATGTCTCATGCCCAATAACGCGGCGAGGTGGGGAGGATAAAGTTAGGTGAGAATTATAACCCTTGGCATTAACCACAGATTTCGTGGTGTTGCAGCTCTGGTGGTTCGACTCCTGACTGGGCGGTTCATCTGGGAGTACGACCCGACGCTGGAGGCCGCCTACCGTCACCACACGACCATAGACGACGACCCAGCCGTCATGCACATCTACGACACCGCTGGTCAGGTAAGTCGTGGACCAGTGAGAGGTTGCACATGGGTCTATTCTGGACCAGACCCAGGAGAGACCCATGTCGACCAGGCTTCTCTCCTGGAGGCCTGGTCGACGGCCGGGCCGCGGGGACGCTAAGCCCCGGAAGCACCTCAAGGTAACCTCAAGGGTTAATTGGCCAATCACTCGTGATTTTGATAAGGTACCACGCGAAAGACTGAGACAGAAATTACATTCGCGTGAAGAGCAAAGTCTAAAATTAATAAAATAAAGGTTAATAAAGAAAAGAAGGCATCAGTCCTAACTGGAAATGAATCTAATAAAAAAAAAATTGGGAGTAAATATACCAAGGTTCCGTTTTGGGTCTGGTTTATTTTTGTAATATACATTAACAGCACAAATGAGAAGTCCCAAAAACTCATCATATTTGCTGATGACTCAAAGATCTGTGGCAAAACAGAAAACGAAAATCACGTTAAGACTTTGCAGAGTTCACGAAGACACGAACTTCACAAATGGTCATAAAGACTGATAAATGCTTTTCAGTACTAAAAAATGCAAGACCCTGCATTTAGGGCATAACATTTACCATCACAAATAACACTACTAAGCAGACTAACAAAGAGATTAGCAAAGAGATGAATCGACTTGAGAATAGTCCAGGACGGACCGAAACGTCGTCGTCCCTTCACCTTCTAGTGTATGGTCTGGTCAACATTCTTCAGCCACGTTATTATGACTGCAGATGACCAAGGAGTTATGATCAACAACTACGCCCCTAGGCATAGTCAAACGGACCTTTTACCTTCCGGCAAAGAGTGTATGTATTCAGTGAGTGTATTCAGCTGTACAAATCTCTAATGTGTCCTCATGTCGACTAGTGAATCAAAGCGCGGAAATCTCGTCTTCAAAACGACATAAAGGCTTTAGAGATAGTTCAACAAAGAGCGACAAAAATCCTTCTCTAACTAAATCAACTCATTCCATGAAAGGTTGAGAGCCAAAGGAGTAACATCACATTAATCCAGATAACTTCATTAAAAAAAAAAAAAATGTAACACACACACCTTCAAGCTCATCAAGCCACAATGCAGGACAAAGAACAGGAGAGACTTATCACCCCAAGGTTATAAACCGATGGAACCGCCTACCCGCCAAAGCCGTCAATACCTAGACATTACTCCAGTTTAAAATAAAAATCAAGAGAGTAAAAGTCATCAAGAAAATGGGGAACCTTATACATATCGCCAGCTTCTTGTCCCCTCAGGTAAATTCAGGTAAAACCACGCTATGAAAAAGTTGGGGACTTTAGATTTAGTTATCTGATATTTGCCCTCTGTCTAATCAAAAGCATCCATGAATAACTACATGACTGGAATATTTAGTGTTTTCTGAACTGTATTTTTCATAACGTGATCATCATTTTGTAACGAATCTTCCCATTATGCATTACATAATTATAATGATATATAATTAGAATGATTTAATATGTAATCATACATAATTATTTAACAAAAAAATATGTTCGAAATAATTATATAATTAGTATTATAAGGAGTTTTCTTTTTTTGCAAAACAATGTATGTGTGTGTGTACTCACCTAGTTGAGGTGAGTACACACACACATACATTTTGTGTGTGTGTGTGTGTGTGTGTGTGTGTGTGTGTATGTGTGTGTGTGTGTGTGTGTGTGTGTGTGTGTGTGTGTGTGTGTGTGTGTGTGTGTGTGTGTGTGTCTGTGTCTGTGAGTGTGTGTGTGTGTGTGTGTGTGCACGCGCGCATTTGCGTGTGTATATGTGTGCTTCCATCTGTATAAATTGTGAGCGTACTAACCCTAAGTCGTTCACCTAAAAATGCTCGTAGAACCCAGCGCTGACATGGCTCCTAAGCCCCCTCCCCTCCCTTCCTTCTGCCTTTCCACCCACTGACCAACTAATCCAGCTGTGCGCGCGTGTGTGTATATAAATATACGCAGGAGGAGGGCTTGGTCAACGAGGGCCACGCTCGCTGGGGCGACGGCTTCCTCCTGGCCTTCAGCATCACAGACAGACGCAGCTTCGCGGCCATCACCAGCATCCACGCCGCCGTGGCCGCGGCCAGACACACACCCAACTTCTCCTGCGTTATCGTCGCCAACAAGAACGATTTAGGTTGGCTTTATTTTGACCTGTTTAAGTCATTTGTGCATTTATATCTAATGGCTTATTTATGGGAAGTCGGATTCACAAAAACGCACACATATATACACACAACTAGTTGAGGATATATACATACTGTTAGTTGAGTATACATGTATACTAGTAGCTGAGTATTCATACACACTGCTACTAGCTGTAGATGTGCTATCATACATACACACTTCTGCTAGCTCAATGCACATACTACTACTACTACTACTAGCTGAGTACATATACACACTCTACTACTTGCTGAGTATACACACGCCTAGCTAAGTATACACACTACTAGCTTAGTATACATTCACATTACTAGCCAAGGAGGGTAATGAAGCCTGTGTAGGGTAGGAGTAGGAGCGGATAGGAGGCTATGAAGCCTTAAAGGCTTCACAGCCTTTATAAAGGCTTCTTCATAAAGCCTTTATAAAGGCTTTATAAAGGCTTCATAGCCTTCAGCCTAAGAACCTTGTGCCTTTAGGGCAGACCTAACATAGGTGTAAAATTTAAATACTTGCTCGACAAATTATCATTGACATGGAAAAGTAGAAATAATCACAAGAGAAACAAATCGAAAAATTTCTAATTTGTGACCTTTTTGGCTTGTAAAATTGTAATTTCAGAGAGTCACGTTTGTACAAATGCTTTGACTCGGTGTACATCAAACATGATTAGTTGAGTTTGTCTTTTATTCTTGACTTCGGGTAGTTCTTGGTGCGTATTAGAGAACAAAAAAATTATCTTTCTTCACTGCATTTGGACACCATTAGGTATATTCATAGAGAAATATTTACATTTGGAAACACTGAAGAGAGGTTGTTTGACAATTTGCATAAACATAGGAGTTTCAAAAGCCTTTTCTAGCCTTTCCCTTTCTCTCTGAACAATCATATCAATTTCAAAACTGAATGAGAATTTGATTCTTTCCTTCTATAGACATTCACAGCTCTATGTCTCTCTCTGTTGACCGCAAGCCTTTGCACAGTGGTACGTACATTCATTTATTTTCCTACCTACACAGAAGCGACATTAACGCCATATATATATCTACAAGAAAATCCACCATGACTGTGAGGAGCGCATGAACCTACGACCACTGCCTCGGTCGTAGATTCGCCCCCACCTCAAAGCCAGAGTGAATTTTCTCATGGTACCGTGTATGTCTGGATCATCTCTCACATCTGCAATTAAAGGCGAACGTCTCTCCTCAGGTCACCTGGCGGAGGTGAGCGAAGAGGAGGCGAATGAATTAGCAGGAGAGCTCGGTGCTTCGCTCTTTCTGACGTCCGCGTGTGACGGAGGTCCCACTATCCAGGCCGCCTTCTTCGAGCTTCACAGGGACGTGGTGCGGCGACGGTGGTCACGCCGAAGACGCTCTTCTGCAAAGACCGTCATTGAGGGCTTCTACAAGATGTTTTCCCGTTGACACCGCCGGCAACCCTGGCTGTGTTTTCATGTGTACACGGCGGAACATTTTGGTCAGATGTACCACCGAGAAACAGAGGTTCAAAATATATTTTCTACAAGGTGTACTCCCCCTCAGGCACAATGGGCGATGTGATATACCGTCTATAGTTATTTTATTGTGACAAATCTACAGCCCATATTGTATTGCAAATTATACAGCTATCAATCGTGCATTTGCAAATTGTACAAACAATAATTACACACTAAAAGTTTTCTTTCCCCATATTAAAAAAGAATCTGTCGATAATCCCGTTTACAAAATGTGTACCTGTATAAGTGTAAGATGTTCTACCTGTGCCTATGTCTCAACTTGCAAGATGTGCCACCTGTTCCTGTGAGATGTACTACCTGTACTTGCAAGATGTATCACCTCTACCTGAACTTGCAAGATGTATCACCTCTACCTGAACTTGCAAGATGTATCACCTCTACCTGAACTTGCAAGCTGTATCACCAGTTACCATTACAGTCGAGCGTAACACTGCGCACGACCCGCCAAGCATCTTGTTGCAAAAGGCAATATCTTAAGACATACCTGATAAAACCCACCAGTTAAGACAGACGTAACTCCTTATGAGCCCATAAGACCCACCAATAGTGAGAATCTACAAAACCCACCAATTGTAGTTAGAAATCCAAAGTACTCCTGGTATTAACTATATATCTTCTGGTACTCCTAAGAGTTGGTCCCAATAGTAACTCCTCCCCAAAACCCCTGTAAGAGTACCTTTAAAGTATTGTAAACTGTACCTTTAAAGTACAGGAAAAATACAAGTAAGACAAGATGTATTTTATATCTTGTTTCAAAATACAATACAAGATACAGCTCCCACAGTTAGAGGGAGTAAAGCCCATCAATCATACGAACTAAACTCAGAGTTACGACGTGTTAAAGTACGGCTAGAAACTAATAAGTGTTCCTCATCTATATAGAGAAAAAAGCTAAAGCTATAGAGAGAATAAAGCTATGTTGACTAGACCACACACTAGAAGGTGAAGGGACGACGACGTTTCGGTCCGTCCTGGACCATTCACAATCGACTTGAGAATGGTCCAGGACGGACCGAAACGTCGTTGTCCCTTCACCTTAGAGTGTGTGTTGTCTGGTCAACATACTTTAGCCACGTTATTGTGACTCATCGCCTGCAGAATAAAGCTATAGAGAAAGTAGCAGGAAAGTACATGCACAAACCACCAATCACTCTTGACTTCCTGTTCATTACCAAGTGTTGACAATGTCCGATATATGAAAGACCTGACTTGTAATTTACAACTTTTGGGTATGTTTAATAATAATAATAAAAATAATAAAAATAAAAATAATAGTATCAGTAGTCGCCCTTGCTTTAGTAGTAGTAATAGTAACACCTAAAATAGTATACATCATTCACCTGGGTCCTTGTAGCCAGGTTAATGATGTATTCACCTGGCTACAAGGTGATGTTCTTAGCCTCGAACCATCAACCCCCAAGATTTGGAGACGATAGCTCTATCAAGCACGCCACAATATGGAAGGATTCCAGAGGCACGTAACTGCTGCCTAACTGGAACTTTAAGCCTTCCTTTGGGCTGCCGATCGAACATGATGAATAATGGGTGGGTATGGGAGTGTCATAGGTCAGTCGGGGGGGGGGGGGTTGGTTAGCCACATTGCCCCACTTTTAAGAAATATCGCCAACTACAGTGACCCCTGCGATTTTCACATAACACGCAGTATTTCATTTTCTGTGATAGAGAAAGATAGAGAAAACGGGAATTACCCGGTAGAGATGAGCACACACAACTGTTTTCTCTAACCATGCTTCACAAAATTCCCTGTGAGGCGTGTTATAGATTTCCGAAGCTTCCGATTTTAATCTGGAATTTTGGCAACTTTAACATGCAATGTTTACCTTTGTCAACACTCGTGTTTATTGTTGTCATTAGGAACATTTGCCACTCTCATTCCCCCCCCCCCCCAAAAAAAAAAAAAAAGATGCATTCCTTTTTTATTGCGAGTTGTTCTGCTTTCTGTAAATGAGCAGAAAGTTGCACTTGCAACAGTGGAGCAGAATGTTCCTGCTGTAGTGAAGCAGGGAGATGTATCTGCTGTAGTGAAGCAAGGAGATGTATCTGCTGTAGTGAAGCAAGGAGATGTATCTGCTGTAGTGAAGCAGGGAGATGTATCTGCTGTAGTGAAGCAGGGAGATGTATCTGCTGTAGTGAAGCAGAATGTTCCTGCTGTAGTGAAGCAGGGAGATGTATCTGCTGTAGTGAAGCAAGGAGATGTATCTGCTGTAGTGAAGCAAGGAGATGTATCTGCTGTAGTGAAGCAAGGAGATGTATCTGCTGTAGTGAAGCAAGGAGATGTATCTGCTGTAGTGAAGCAAGGAGATGTATCTGCTGTAGTGAAGCAAGGAGATGTATCTGCTGTAGTGAAGCAGGGAGATGTATCTGCTGTAGTGAAGCAAGGAGATGTATCTGCTGTAGTGAAGCAGGGAGATGTATCTGCTGTAGTGAAGCAGGGAGATGTATCTGCTGTAGTGAAGCAGGGAGATGTATCTGCTGTAGTGAAGCAGGGAGATGTATCTGCTGTAGTGAAGCAAGGAGATGTATCTGCTGTAGTGAAGCAGGGAGATGTATCTGCTGTAGTGAAGCAAGGAGGTGTATCTGCTGTAGTGAAGCAAGGAGATGTATCTGCTGTAGTGAAGCAAGGAGATGTATCTGCTGTAGTGAAGCAAGGAGATGTATCTGCTGTAGTGAAGCAAGGAGATGTATCTGCTTTAGTGAAGCAAGGAGATGTACCTGCTGTAGTGAAGCAAGATGTACCTGCTGTAGTGAAGCAAGGAGATGTATCTGCTGTAGTGAAGCAAGGAGATGTACCTGCTGTAGTGAAGCAAGATGTACCTGCTGTAGTGAAGCAAGGAGATGTATCTGCTGTAGTGAAGCAAGAAGATGTACCTACTGTAGATGTACAAGGAGACCATCTTGCTCTACAAGGTCAGATCTGAAGACCTACTCTCCTGGTAGCAACATCAGCTTTAGTCAAGTCTCAAGGAACCTCCTGAGAGGGAAGAAGACCCAGTTAGGTGTCAGCCACCTACCTCCTTCACCTTTCCAGGTATCGACCACACGCTAATTATAGACTCACTTCTCAACGCTGAAAACATTTTTTTCTGGAGAGGCTTCGATAAAATCGATCACCGGGGCTCTTGATAACGCATGAGAGAAGGTAATGTAATTATGAGGAAACGCCAAGTGAGTATGGCTATATAACGCTTGGCAGCGATATGAGGACCAGGAGCTGGGTTACGATAGATGGAAAGGTTAGTTGGCCACCATTCAGACCGTCAGGAATCGAACGCCGACCTGCAAGAAGCGAGGTCGTCCTACTGTCCCTGAACGATAACTCTTTGTCACACACTGTCTCCTACTGTCCCTGAACGATAACTTTGTCACACACACTGTCTCCTACTGTCTCTGAACGATAACTTTGTCACACACACTGTCTCCTACTGTCCCTGAACGATAACTTTGTCACACACACTGTCTCCTACTGTCTCTGAACGATAACTTTGTCACACACACTGTCTCCTACTGTCTCTGAAAAATAACTCGTGGCCACTTTCCATCTAAGACTATTAACATTACATTTGATTACACTATCATCATTTAAAGACTGGAAAGCATATATAACATGGCAGAAATTAACTCTGCTTAAAATGAGTGTTATTGTTTTAATTTTGCGTGAAAGATATTGGCTCCCGTATTGATGATATGTGAAGTGTTTATTGCGTAAAGTGATTCAAAGTTCCGTAGTGTAAACAATGGTTCTTAATTAGCACTGTTTACCTTAAATACATAAGGGGGAGACCTGGTCAGAGACCGGGCCGCGGGGACCTTAACACCCTCCGGAATCCATGCAAGGTAACCGCAAGGCAGCATTACTGTCAAGCCAGTTGATCTCTCCCTGTAGATATATATATATATATGTATCTACAGGAATGTAGATATATATATATATATATATATATATATATATATATATATATATATATATATATATATATATATATATATATATATATATATATATATATATATCTACTGTAGATATATATATATATCTACAGTCCTACAAGTCATCTAACCTTCTCTGGTCTAATGCGTTTGTGCATCGTTGATTGATTGGAGGTAATTATCGACGACTAGAGCGACGGTCTCGCTTCATGCAGGTCGGCGTTCAATCCCCGACCGTCCAAGTGATTGGGCATCATTTCTTGAGCCCCCGTCCCATCCCAAGTCCTTATTCTGACCCCTTCCAAGTGCTATATAGTCGTCGTAATGACTTGGTGCTGTCCCCTGAAAATTCCCTTGATGTTAGATAAAGACTCGTTTTAATATAAATAGACTCGTGATATAAATTGGATAAGTTTAGATTTAGGAAAGACTTGGGTAAATACTGGTTCGGTAATTCAGGGTTTTGATTTGAGGAACCACAAATCCAATTGTCCAGTTTCAACAGCAAACGTTACACTTATAATATTGTATCCAATGTTCCACCAGTCATCCTGCGTAGCAAAGTCCCTCACATCTTCCCAAAGGTACCAAAAAGACCTCAAAAAGACTCACAGTTATGAGACAAGGTATTCACAGATCCACATCTGCCAGATCACCTTCGCCTTAGAACCACATTTACTCAAAAATCTTTTTAAGTTTCCAGACAGCCTTGGCACAGTTTTCAATCACCAGAGAATATATGAAGATAGAGGCCTCAGGAAGTCCTATAGCACAGTTGTCTACGTCCACGGCACACTATCAAGAGTCCCGGGATCGATCCCAGGCCTGGAGAGACATGATTAGGCACTTTTCCTATCTGATGCCTCCGTTTGTCCCATTATTGTGACTCGTCGTCTACATAGTAATTTTCATACTTTATTATTCCGGGACTAAAATATTAAATCAATAATATAAGTAGGATCTGCCTCGTATGGGCCAATAAGAGCTGCCCCGTGTGGACCAATGGGTACTGCCGTGTGTGGACCAATAGGAGCTGCCTCGTATGGGCCAATAAGAGCTGCCCCGTGTGGACCAATGGGTACTGCCGTGTGTGGACCAATAGGAGCTGCCTCGTATGGGCCAACTAGCCTTTTTCATCCCCAGTTTGCTAACTGCAGGTAGTAACTAAGTGATTGTAACCTATCCACCGCTGCCCACTGGATAGGGGGGGGGGGGGGCGGTGTGCAGGACAAACATATCAATTGTGACACTAGCTCTCCACATATGTCAGTTGCTTAATTTAGAAACTGTACTTGTGGTCGATCTCGAACCCATTGTTGATGGGACGACTTATACTGAATTTTGTAACTAGCTCATCAAGATTGTAACTTGCTTAGCTAAATGAATTGTGGGGTTGAGTCCCTAAGCCCATTATGTGCCTCTGTAACCCTCTCCACTACCGCCCACAAGATGGGTATGGGGTGCATAATAAATGAACTATACTGAAGCGAAAGATACGGAAGGAAATGCAGGACAGAACCAGTGAGGCGTAGAGGTGCCATAGGCACAGTCAGAGAGCAATGTCTGAACATCAGAGGTCAAGGACTGTTCAACACCCTCCCAGCAAGCTTTAGAAATATTGCCGTAACGAAGGTACAGGTATTCAAGACGCACTTGGACAGGTTCTTGCAAAAAGTGCCGGACCATCCAGGCTGTAGTGGATATGTAGGCTTGCAGGCCGCTCCAAGCAACAGCCTGTTGGACCAAGTTATCACAAGCCTAGACTGGGGCCTCAGACCGGGCTCGGGGAGTAGAAGAACTTCTAAAACTCTCTCCAGGTATGTTCCAGGTATAGCGATAGGTGTTACGTGATCATGACGTGTTTGACTAATGTATCGATAATATAATTACAGTAACATTACATTAATGGTAATACAGAAATATTTCGAAGTTACAAAACAATTATAATAATAATAATTCATTGTGTCGGGGCACCAGAGTAATCATATACGATAGACTTATGTTTTGATTAAATCCTCGATATATTTCTCTATTATTTCTGTATTACCATTAATACAGAAAAATATTTCTGTATTACCATTAATGTAATTTGTACTGTAATTATATTATCTTCTTCCTGTCCAGGTCGTCCCTAAAGCCAGTGACTACCAGGAGCAATTTGACCTCACGTTAAATTTTGTTAAAAATTTAACGTAAATTTAATTTTGTTAAAAAATTTAACAAACTTTGTTAAATGCATCTGTATGTTGGAAACAAAGGGTATAATTCTCCAAAACTGTAAGGATGTTTGAGACGTTTTATATAGGAACGGCGTGCTGTTCTGAGACTCGACCCAACAACGTCTTGTTATTGATAAATATGTAGAATTTGAATGCATGTCCGCTGTGAGAACGCGCAATGCGAGTCGTAAAATATTTTAGGAACCCCTAATAAATATTATCATAGAAGACGTAAACATCTTGGTCTTGTATCACAAACTTAGCTAAATATTAAGATGTTCCTCACCCAAATTGTTATTGGCTGTTAATTGTTTTGTATACACTACTATTGTATTATTTTGTATTGAGACGGTGGTGAGGTAAATGGCTTTTTAAAGTATGCGGAAGTAATTATCAAAAGAAGGCACCAAACGAGGGAAACTATGTAGTTAGAGGAAGCTGAAGAATTATTTGCATAAATATTGATATCTATAAACAAAAGTTGGATGAAGTGTTATCAAAATATATGTTCAATTCACTGAGCATATTTAAATGTATTGAACATATATTTACGTTCTGTTATTTAGGTAATAAAAACTAATTTTCTAGCCCAAAACTGATGTTAAACTTAATAGTAGGGATTCTATGGGGTTCTGAACCCATTATGTGCCTCTGTAACCCTTTTCACCACCGCTCACGGGATGGGTATAGGGTGCATAATAAATAAATGACACGAGATGCAATGGTATTTAGTCTTGCGGTATGTTTAAAGTATATTTGAGTATACTGGCGCCACTCTCCACTCAAAACATTAACTGGTATACTAAGATACATTATATTTCAGGAAGTTTCATGTTAGATTTCAGGAAGTTAAATGTTAGATTTCAGGAAGTTTTATGTGTATATATATATACCACACACACAGTATATCCTTTATCAGTGTATGGAATACCCATCTCCTGCATCAGTTTATAAGGTACCCATCTCATTCATCAATGAATCAAAGTGAGCAATGGACTGTTCGGTAAAAGTTTGAACACAATGAGCTGTAGGGGTCATTTTAATGCGGTGATTCAGGCCTTAATGACCCATACTTTCTGTAACTTTAGTGTGGTGATTGAACGGAACACTAATGGTGCAGTGATTTGCACGGATTCAAAAGCAGCACTTCACAGCCTAAGTAAAAATCTGGCAGAAAATCTTGTAATAGTCGCTGAAATTAAGAGAGCTGTGAGAGTACTTACCAATCAAGGAAGAGTCGTCAAGTTTCTGTGGATCCCCTCCCATGTTGGAATATGTGGGAATGAACGAGCAGATATGCTGGCTGCTGAAAGAGACCATATTGAATACTTCATACCCAAGACTCTACTACAAATTAGAGGTATTGTCAGGGAACATCACCGTGACAAGGTAACTGAGGAAAGGAGGATAGAAGCACAAACCAGTGAATCTGTACGATGGTACAACATGGTTGCAGCTGGCAATCCCAATCATTATGGACGAAGAGGAGGAGGACGAGGGAGAGAATCAGTAATAGCGAGAATCCGTCTTGGATACAAATATCCATGGAGATACGAGATGGAAACAACAGTTGATCAGCGAAGTTGCAGAATCTGTGGTGAGAGTGATGGACACCGCCTTGACCACTATCTACGTGAATGTGAACACCTGAGAGACATTAGAAGTGTGTGAAGAATAATAAACCCCACATTGTTTGAATTAGGAAAACACTATTTATCAAATATTGATACTATTCTTAAAAGATTACCCCATTTTGCGCCCGCAAGATAACGTAAGCTTTTAAGGGTTGATAGATGTTAATCTTCTTGTTTGAGGAGCTGTTCACTTGAGCCAGTTAAGCAAGTCCAAGCTGTACTCATCTAATTGTGCGTGCGGGGGTAGGGCTTTGGCTCTTTGGTCCCGCATCTCAAGTGTCAATCAACTGGTGTTCAGATTCCTGAGCCTACTGAGCTCTGGGGACAAGAGCTGTGTCTGGGTACAAGTGACAGGACGAACAACCCAGCGGGTTTTCTTTCTTTTAGGGAGTGTTGTACACGCTGCTATGGCGGTGTGTCCACTCACAGGATGAGTGACGCTGCCCAATAAACTCGCCCCTCGGGGCAAAATTTAAATTTAAAAAATTTAGTGTGGTGACCGATGGGATAGGACGTCTGGCTTGCAACCTCAGACAGGGGCGTTTCTTTTTACGAATAGATATATGTATGAATGTAGTTTTTTTGCCTCTATTCAATTCCCACTGCCGCTCACAGGATAACTGGCCGACCCCTCAAGAGAGAACTTGATAAACACCACGAAAGAATACCTGATCAACCAGGCTGAGACACATACGTCAGGATGCCAGCAGCCGCGTCCAAACAGCCTGGTTGACCAGTCCAGCAACGAGGAGACCTGGTCGAGGACCGGGCCGCGGGGTCGCTAAGCCCCGAAATCATCTCAGGGTAACCCACGCAATTAAACATTCAAATAAACATTTGCTGATAACTTTTTGAAATGATGAGAACGTAAGGAGGACATCAAATTCTGAAGGAAGACAGGCGATGAAATATATGAGTGAGGAAATGATTGAATAAGGAAATAAATAAGGAAATGAATGTGGGAAGGGGAGGAGAGAGAGAGTAGAGGAAATGTTTACGCGTGGATCACAGCAGGACTATACTGGAAAGAACAAACAGGTGTTTAATATTGTTGTCATTAGTGTGTGTGGCGGAGGACGGCGCAGTAGAGGTCCAAGGAGCTGGCCGTGGCAGACATCCCTCCGTGGCCATGGGGTGAGGCACGGCTCCCACCTCCCCATCCTCACATCAGTCAATACCGCCTCTCTCTCTCCCTCTCTGAGCCACACTACCACCTCTGACCGCCAGGGTGATGTGCGTTCGAGTGGCGTCCTGCTTATGTGTTCCCTACGTTGACAGTGACCGCCTCCGCTACCGTGTTGTTGATGTAGTGATGAGTTGATGAGAGTGTGGAGGGATCGTGGAGGCTAGTTGATAGTGGATGAGTCTGGTTGTGTTCAGCTGGAGAGCTCCGCCGGCCCGGGTGAGTAAAGTGTTTTGTTTACATCCTCATACAGTGTTGCCAGTGGTGTCTCACTTGAGGAAAAACAATGACTCCTTTGAGTGGTTCCTTAAAATATATTGACTCGGTCGATCTCTATACGAATTTATGTTAATAATAATATTACTTTACATGTAATTTTTTTCCCACTGCATCATTTATGAATTTATGTAAAATACCGTACATGACTCGTCAGCAGGAAACACTTAATTATACCAAATATGTGTAAACAAAAAAAATAAGGACAATTTGTCACCTGGCGCCATTCATTATAAACAAATTGTGTAAGGAATAACAATGAACGTATATATTAACAATATTATATGCTTCCACGTCCCGTTTACACATTTTATATGTATATATATATATATATATATATATATATATATATATATATATATATATATATATATATATATATATATATATATATTAGTATATTTTGGTAGCAGTCTTTCCTGTAGACATATATTATTAAATATGACCGAAAAAGTAAGATTAATAATTCTAACACGAATTTTCTCAATCTTTCGTACATTACGCTTCACTGTTGGAGGTAAATCAAAAATCACTTCTCCAAAATTCATTTTTATTTCTAGTCTAGACTAGAAATAAAAATGAATTTTGGAGAAGTGATTTTTGATTTACCTCCAACAGTGAAGCGTAATGTACGAAAGATTGAGAAAATTCGTGTTAGAATTATTAATCTTACTTTTTCGGTCATATATATATATATATATATATATATATATATATATATATATATATATATATATATATATATATATATATATATATATATATATATATATATATATATATATATATATATATATATATATATATATTATAAAATATAAGACCAGCTGGAGGGATCGTGGCTGGTGCGGTATAACGGGACCAAAATCTTCACCTTGACTGGTGACCTTTCCTTTGACCTGGGCTGTAGGAGGCTCGAACCGGGAACCCCACGTATGTGAAGCCGAAGCTCTATCGACCGAGCTATTGAGTGGTATTAATAAGGAAAGTTTTTCCTGTTTTGTATGTAAGACCTGCTTGGTTAATTATGAAATTTTAATTATTTTTTGTTTTAATTTTGCTTCGAAGGATGAGTTTATTGGGCAGTGAACAATAAATATTGACAAAGCAGCGTGAATATTCTCTCCCCCTTCAAGAAATAGGAACAAAAGCCTCCCACTTTTCCTTAATAGGTACAAAACTCCTCCCTCCAACAAACACAAATCCCTCTAGACGGTCACTCACACACAAAAAAAAAATGAGTATGAAAGCCTTTAAAACTAAAGGGAAAAATAATGATATTCCCTATTTACATCACCCAGATTTAAACTCCAAAACAATTTCCTCAAAACTCAGCATAATAGGCAATTAGGTTGTTTACGCAATATTTTCCTGAAAGTGTTGTGCTAAACTCAAGACACACACACACACACACACACACACACACACACACACACATGGCCTTAGTTTCACTAGTAACTTAGCTGCCAATTCATAGCCTAGGGCTAGATTCACGAAGCCGTTACACAAGCACTTTCGAACCTGTCCATCATTTCTCAATCTTTGGCGGCTTTGTTTACAATTATTAAACAGCTCTGAAGCACCAGGAGGCTCTTTATAACAATAACAACAGTTGATTGGCAAGTTTTCATGCTTTTGAACTGTTTAATAAATGTAACCAAAGCCGTCAAAGATTGAGGAAAGATGTACACGTTCGTAAGTACTTGCAGAACTGCTTAGTGAATCGGGGCCCTAATCTTGAGCCATGGTGGTTGTGGGAGTGTTATTCCGGTATTCTCAAGGTCATTGTTTACATGCGCGAGGCATCGTGAGGGTACCCTCTGTTGGTATCAGTGAGGTAACTTTGTTGCTGCTTTAAATTCAACTACTAGGAACAAAAAGTTCCAAGTAGCACGGGCTATGGTGAGCCCGTATTGGACTTACCTGGCACAGGAGCGGGGCTGTAACTGTGATTTGTTCTAGATGTTCTAGGTGAGGTAATCGTAGCCTCTGATTATATGGGTGAGTGAGGTATGTTGTTGTTGTTAAAGATTTAGCTACTCAGGACGAAGTGTCCATGTAGCACGGGCTATGGCGAGCCCGTAATTGAGTTTGGTAATACATGATAACCTTTTTTCCTGTGATATTTGGGTCTAAATTTAAAATGGAGGAGAGGACTTCTCCTTTTTCCCTGCTTATTTGTCGCTTCTGATTTAGTGCACTGGTTGAGTGAGGTACCGGCACCCACCGTTTATACTGTATGGGTTAACTGTACTGTAACCTCCTGTTATATGGGTCACTTGGCTACTTGTGAATGGCTCACTTATGGTCCATGTAGGTGGGTAGTGTACACCTACATGTACTCACCGAGGTGTGTTTACGGGGCAATAGCTCCCTGGCCCCGCCTCTCCAACTCTTGATCAGTTAAATGCAGTATTATTATTCATTTCTCGTGTCTCATCATATTTTCCTTTGAATCAGATTATTGAATTTGAATCATATATTTTTTTCGATTTAATTGCGACTCTGTGTCCAACCACGTGAACTGGTTGGTACTACCCGCCAAACACACACCGAAACTACGATGTTGGTACAACGTTCGAACAAGTTTGAACACCTCCTAGCCAGTTATAACAACCAATATAGCAAGTTGTAACAACGTTCTAATACGTCATAAACACGTTAAGCCAAGATGTAACAACTTTATTACAAGTTGTAACAAGCGGAAAGTAGAGACAGTTTCGGTTTGTGTTTCCAGGGTAGAGAGTGTCACTTCGTGTAGGTAACTGGGGCCAGATTCACGAAGCAGTTACGCAAACTCTTACGAACCTGCACATCTTTTCTCAATCTTTGGCGGCTTTGTTTACAATTATTAAACAGTTAATGAGCTCCGAACACACAAGAGGCTGTTTACAGCAATAACAACAATTGATTGGGAAGTTCTCATGATTCTAAACTGTTTAATAAATGTAACCAAAGCCGTTAAAAATTGAGGAAAGATGTACACGTTCGTAAGTACTTACGTAGCTGCTTCGTGAATCGAAGAAACCATCCTACGTTGTGTTCGCACGTGTTTAGCATCATAAACCGGACCTAACAAGCGCTTTCCTAGATGCAGAGATTAGTTGATAATCTTGGCTGCTCTCAAGTCCTGGTGACTGAATATTCTACTTCCTGCTTCATACCCTTTGTTAAATTTTATGGTTAGTAATAGATTAAACTGTGTAGTGGGTTAAATTGAGACGAGAGAATTCTCTCTCTCTCTCTCTCTCTCTCTCTCTCTCTCTCTCTCTCTCTCTCTCTCTCTCTCTCTCTCTCTCTCTCTCTCTCTCTCTCTTCCTCGGAATTCAAGGTCAATTTTTTCTTCCTGAGTGACCTTAGATTGACTGATACTTAGAGGGATACTCATACTCGTGTCACTTCTTGAGTGGTTTAATTTTCATCAATCACCTGAGTGGCTACAGGTGAACCAGTGCAGTACTAACCTCTATTAGTAGAATGTCATTGGTGGTAATTCATTTTCAGTTAATCCTTCGTATGTTAACATTTTGTTCATATTTAATTGTATGTGAACTATTTGAGCTGATGGTAGATATGTAATTATTTTCCTAAGGACAGCCTGTGAAACAGAGTTGATTGGGATGGATTTTTAAACGTATTTAATAATTATGCACCCCTATGCCCATCCCGTGGGCGGTGGTGGACCCCATGCCCATCCTGTGGGTGGTGGTAGACAGGCATACAGAGGCACATAATGGGTTCAGGAACCCATAGTTCGTGAGTGAGAGAACACGTGTGACTTACGATACACGAACGAGTGGTAGTCTAGATGCCACGCCAATTCAACGTCGTATCAACGCTGTACGAAGGTTGATAAGCGTCGATTTGACGTCGAACCACACTTGTGGAAATCTCCACTATGTTGGGTACCCATTACCATCCACTTAACCTCAGGTATAACTCCGGAAAACCAATCGTCTGGCTCAGATCGGCGTGTGTTTGTGCGGTGCAATAATTTATGAGCATTACCGACAGAAGAGACAATTGTCTGTCTCAGAGACTGTTCAGAACAGTTAAGATAGTCATTGCCAATCGTCCAGGACCATTCCAAGTATGATTCGATAATCATCAAGGATTCGGGAGAGACTCACGGAAAACATCCATTATTGTGTGTAGATCAGACCAGTATGGAGTACTTACTTCTTCTGTTACTGCTCAGCATTATCTAGCCAACACACAGGAGACAGTATGTCACAGTCTCATGCTGCTGGGAGTGTCTCTTGTTGCTGGGAGTGTCTCATGTTGCTGGGACAGTGTCTCTTGTTGCTGGGACAGTGTCTCTTGTTGCTGGGACAGTGACTCATGTTGCTGGGACAGTGTCTCGTGTTGTTAGGACAGTGTCTCTTGTTGCTGGGAAAGTGTTGACACAGACCTCTACATGTACTAGCGAGGAGCTTGATAGCTACAGCTGAACACATTTACTTGTATGTGAAGAGTTAATCCTCGATTCATGTAATCCACATGAACCTCGATTCAGGTCTTTGTTGATGTAAATTCTTGCCTTTCTCAGTACAAAGGGCCATTAATCCTCTTAACAAGCGTGAACTGACTTAGCCTATCTGGTCAGCTAATCTCTTACCCGTTATCTCTTCCTGTCTCTTAATTTCATTTTCTCTCCTTTCTATTACTTACTATTCTCGTTTACTCTCTATTCTTCCCTATTCTGTTTCATCACTAATTCATTAAATGTTCCTTTGGTTAGTTTTATTGGGGACAGGAAGCCTGAATTTAGGCTCATCCTGGTCCTTCTCCCCCCACCTAAGCCTACTACTGGATGCAGGATGCAACCCACAACAGTTGCCTCACTAATATATATCTATTACTAGATGCATAAAGGCATCAGGTGAAACGAAACGTGCCCAACCAGCTCTGTCCTCAACCGAGGATTTGAACCAGTGATCTCTGCGAGTCGACGACGCAGCCAACTGCGCTACAGAACCCCCTGCTGGGGGCTGTAGAGCAGCTTGAGTTAGGCCTACGATTATCGGCTATTTCCTTTTTAAAATTATATCTCACCTTCTCCTCGCTTAAGTTGAGCTTGATCGCTTAAGTTGTTGTGGTTTGGTGATGGTTTGGCGGTTGTGTGGTGAGGATTAATGGTGGTAGTGTTGATCTTGCTAAATTGTTGACACACACTGGTCTCGTAGGATGGTGGTATGGTAGAGGGTAGGTCTCGTAGGATGGATGTATGGTAGGGGGTATGGTCTCGTAGGATGGATGTATGGTAGGGGGTATGGTCTCGTAGGATGGGGGTATGGTAGAAGATATGGTCTCGAAGGATGGGGGTATGGTCTCGTAGGATGGGGGTATGGTATGGGGTATGGTCTGGTAGGATGGGGGTATGGTAGAAGATATGGTCTCGAAGGATGGGGGTATGGTAGGGGGTATGGTCTCGAAGGATGGGGGTATGGTAGGGGGTATGGTCTCGAAGGATGGGGGTATGGTAGAAGATATGGTCTCGAAGGATGGGGGTATGGTCTCGTAGGATGGGGGTATGGTCTCGAAGGATGGGGGTATGGTAGAAGATATGGTCTCGAAGGATGGGGGTATGGTCTCGTAGGATGGGGGTATGGTCTCGAAGGATGGGGGTATGGTAGAAGATATGGTCTCGAAGGATGGGGGTATGGTAGAAGATATGGTCTCGAAGGATGGGGGTATGGTCTCGTAGGATGGGAGTATGGTAGAGGGGGTATGGTTTCGTATGGTAGCGGTGTGGTGGTTAAAGGTTCTACTTGCTGCCCTATAGTCATTCACTGAGGGCCAGAGACACTTCATCATTCCCTCTGTGTCTGGGTCAACTCGCCACGATCAGCCTCTCGACACGAAGCACTTAACCGCATGATTTGGTCCGTGGAATCTGTGAGATTTACGCAAGGGGACTCTGACTGACGTGAAGTTTCCACACACACACACACACACACACACACACACACACACACACACACACACACACACACACACACACACACACACACACACACACACACACACACACATGCATTCACCGCCATAGTCACCAGAATCACCATGACAGAATCAGTAGCAATTTCGAAATGACACCACCAAGCAACGCCTCACAAGCTACCACCACTACCACGCTGCAATTACCAACATTATTCAACCTATCCTCCTGTTTTGGTAGTACTTATAGTACCTATGAGGACCATAGTACATATACCGACGTACAACGACATTAGAAAGTAGAAATCGGCACTATTGAGTTGGACAAACTGGCAAACTATTTTCTACTTATGTTGCAAAGGCAAACTAAACTAACCTAACCTTTCTAGGCTTAATACATGATGTCTGAGGGCTAATATAGTACATATGTGTGCTATAATAGGCCAAGGAATATTTAACTTTATTTATAGCTTCATTTGTTTCCGACTCTGTAAAGTGAACAGTACAAAGTTCTACTATCTAATTGCTTAGAATGACACTCTTTGTACTATGGTGCGCATAGTTACAAAAACTACTATCTAAACAGGAGAATGAGGTGCATTATTCCTACAACCACTATCAGTACAATCCCCACTCTCAGCACTACCAGTACTACCACCATCGATATAACATCACCAGCACCATAAACCACCACCACCATAAACATCGTTACCACTACCATTATCTCACCACCACCTTTCCATCACAACCATCCATGCCCCATTCACCATCACAACGCCAAGGATACACTATTAACACCATAACGTCTCCGCTACCACAATATTACCACACCACCACCACCGCATTTCACCACCACTACCACCAAAAACCATCTCACCAACTCCATCCACCATCACAAAAATGTGTTATCTCCAGCAAGGCAGTTTGCCTCAGTGAGAAGGTGAAGGTGCTATGGGACGATAAGATCCGTGACAGTAATTCCCAGTTGTCTCCCACAGGCAGATGTGTGTGTTCGCGAGCGTGTTGAGAGCCGTGGTGGCTACCTGCATCCTGGGGTCAGCCCTCGTCTTGGCCTCTCCACAACCACAACAACATACTGGTACGGTAGTACTGTACATCTCTCGTTGTTGGTGGTGTTTTTAGATTCAGCTACTCGGAATAAGTAGTTTCATGTAGCACGGGCTATGGTGAACCCGTAGTGGACATACCTGGCACAGGAGTGGGGGTTGTACCTCTCTCTCTCTCTCTCTCTCACTTCATTATATCCCATCTCATGAATCTCACTTATTAGGGAAGAAAAATATGCTAACAGATCCTTCTCTTCTGGACCACTGTCAAAGCGTTAGAAGGATGAACATAAAGGTTATTAAATATGAGAAAAAAATGATCAGTAATTCTAGCATAAATCTTTTCTATATTGTGTATATTTTTCCATGTTCTTCACTTGCGAAGGAAGTTGATAAATTAACTCTCCAACGTTCATTCTACAGTTTCATGTTTCCTAACACTAAGAGATACTTTCCGTTGATTTTGTCAACATCTTCAAAGGCAGACATGTCTACAACAAAACCCCTACCAATATATATATATATATATATATATATATATATATATATATATATATATATATATATATATATATATATATATATATATATAAAACTTATTTATAAAAAGGTGTAGGTTTTCAGTTAAATGTCATTTTTCTTGTTTTTATTTGTGTAAGATCGTGGCTGTTTTGTTAACATAACTGACCCCTGACACATGACAGCTTCATCTGTAAGGAATATATTAATGTGACCTTCTGTTGGGCTAACCTTACGACCCATGGAAAACAGTGTTTCGGTTGCTTCTATTACCTCCCGTGAATATGTTTGTAGCTATGTTGTTCTAATCGTTTGTCAGAATCTATTTTCTTTGTCTGGCCTTGTATGAGTCTATCTGCCTGTGGTTGACAAGTAATGTGTACATCAGCGCTGCCACTTGTTAAGTGTGGGACTAGAAATATAGTGTGTCTATTCATGAAGTCAAGATTTACACTAATCCTTAGAGATTGTGTTCTCCTGTGTGACGTATTGCAGAGTGCCAGCTGCCAGAGACTGGGGTGTACGTGTCCATTAGTGCCGAGGCAGAGTTCGTAAACAACGGCAGTGAAGCGATCCGCTGGCTGGAGGTCAACTGGTATGGGGTCAACGACGGCCAGGACGGTGACTGGGTGGGGCTTTGGGACCACGACCCTGTTGAAGCGCTGAGCAATCCCTTGGCTCAGTCCCCAGCATCTGGGGCTGACGGTGTGCTGAGGACCGAGGAGCGCTGGGACAGTACCCTTATTCCCAGCTCTCTGGATGGGATAACAGACTCGTGCCTGCCGTACTGGGTGGGTTATGTACGTGATGAAGTCCTCTTATACTCGGCGTGCTTGATGGTGAGACCACGTTGGCTGTCAGCTTTGAAGTCGCAATTGTCAGCAACACGGCTGACAAAAGTTGCTCTACCGGGCACACACGATGCTGGTGCTTCTGGTTTATTTGGTCTGGCAATTATTGGAGAATTGGTGGGTCGGTGGACATTTGCTCAAGACGAGAGTTTGTGGCAGCAGCTGGTGCTCGGTGTCCGCTACATGGACATGAGAATCTCTTACTACCCTCAGACTGAAGAGAAATTTTTCGTGAACCATGGCGACGTTCGCATCGCCCCTCTACAGGGTTATATAGACAACGTAGTCGCCTTCATGAAGCAGACTGATGAGATCGTCATCTTTGATATCCACTCATTAGAACCAGGATTTGATGGATATCCTGAACGTCACCGGGAGTTGATTACGCTGCTCGAATCAAGCTTTATTGACTGGATGGTGCCGAAGGACTTGGCGCCAGATCCCACAATGGGAGTTCTTTGGGAGAACGAGTTTCGGTTAATAGTTACTTACCCGACCTCTGAGGGCTCCCTCTCCTCTTACTTGTGGAACAATGTTCACCACCTTTGGGGCAACGTTGATGACCTGAGTGACCTGGAGGCGTACCTGTACACAGGTATTCCCCAAGAGTCAGATCGCGGGTCCTTGTGGTCGGCGATGGCGCAACTGACCCCGTCTGTGCTGGACGTGACAATAAACCGATGGGGAGGTCTGCGAGGAGCTGCCACCATCACCAACGCTCCCGTCACCCGTTGGTTCCGCCAAGACTGGTGGGACCAAGTCAATATTGTCGCCATGGATTTCATGCCTGCCTCTGATGTTGTCTCCGTCGCCGTGGAAGCCAACAAGATGAGAAGTCAATGTGATGGGAGGAGCCGAGACTCACCAGACGGGGCCAAGCACTGGTGGTCGACCGCCGGGGCGCAAACAGTGAACCTTCCTGGATCACTTGATCAAAGTGAGTTCGATGGTTATGTTCAACACGTTTATTTAGCATTCATAAATATGTTGCTGTTTAGCTGAAAATAAGGCTATCAAAGTTGAAGATTTTTTTTTTACCATTATGTATATGTATCCTTAATAGTTTTCCCCTGGCTTTCCTTGGTAGGTGGAGTCAATGCGTAGGTGTGGGTACTGGCATTGGCCTTCACCTCCCGACGACAAACTTACACTACAACTAGAAATAAATTGGGAGCAGATTACCGAAGAGCAGCAGGTACCAGATATCAACCAGCAGAGGGACGGGTGGATATATCTTCAACCACGATTCCACTTATGACTGGTCAACACCCTTTGAATATACAACGCCAGATACAATTATTAGATATTACCTCACGAACCAGACTTTCCCCATTTCATGACAAGGACAAAAGTATCTATAATCAACTAGTTTTTGGATAACGGTATAACGTGATTGTTGGCTATTTTTCCTGAGATCCAAATGAGCCATATTGCGCTGGTGCCCAGCCAGATAACACGGCGACCTTACACAGACGACCATCAGTAACTGTAAGAGTTTGTCCAAGACTTCAGGCTGAAAACACAAGGTACATAAGGAGTCAGCAAGAGTGTTGGTGCTAGTGGAGGCGGATGGTGTCACCTTCTTCGAGACGAGCGACGAATGTGAAGGATGTATTATACACATAATAAAGACACTATGAGGCATTATGTCTCCAAACAGCCTCGTTTGGGATGTTGCATTCCGTGACCTACCGAGTCTTCAAACAGCCTCATCATTGCCATGATGCAAATAACCACCCTGGCAGACTATGGGGTATCCTGCCTCTGATGTTGTCCCTGTCGCCGTGGAATCCAACAAGATGAGGAATAAATGTGACAGGAGGAGCCAAGGCTCACCAGACAGAGCCAAGCTGGCTAGCGAAATGCAAAACTAGTCTGAAGGAGCACATAAACAAAGTAATTGTGATCGGCGGTTCTGCTACCTCCTTGTAGGCCCTAAGTCTTCAACTGATGCCTCTGACAGTCACGAGGTCATGACTGACGACCTAGCTAACCTTTGGGTTATAACGGACGAGCTCAACAATAGTGTGGCTGCCAACCGGGTGGTGGGACCAGATAAGTATTATCGCGTGAGACTGCATCCTGTCTGTGGCGTAAGTGAAGGTCTCAGCTGGAGCCAGCGTCTGTAACCTTCCCTAATACAGCATCCAACTCTAAAAATATTGAAGGACGATGGGTCGAAACATTCCTAAGATTACGGGAGAATAGAGTTACAGTCAATAATAAATAAGTGAATATCGATCTCTTAGAGGTCTTCCTTTCGTCTTTAATTGTTATCATTATTATTCAAGATGTTGCTGTTGTTAATATTATATCTACTGCTGTAGCTGTTTGTTTTATTAACATTCGAATACAATATATTATTCTTATTATTATTGCTTAAAGAAATCATATTTACGTGAAGGATCATTGAGAATGTCAGTAGGAGCCCCGAGTATACAGAATATTGGTTCTGTCGTGTATGGTGGCCCCTACACGTGTATGGTGGCCCCGACACGATTATAGTGGCCCCTACAAGAGTATGGTGGCCCCTACACGTGTATGGTGGCCCCGACACGATTATAGTGGCCCCTACAAGAGTATGGTGGCCCCTAAACGAGTATGGTGGCCCCTACACAAGTATGGTGGCCCCTATACGTGTATGGTGGCCCCTACACGAGTATGGTGGCCCCTACACGAGTATGGTGGCCCCTATACGTGTATGGTGGCCCCTACACGAGTATGGTGGCCCCTACACAAGTATGGTGGCCCCTAAACGAGTATGGTGGCCCCTACACAAGTATGGTGGGTCCCTACACGAGTATGGTGGCCCCTATACGTGTATGGTGGCCCCTACACGAGTATGGTGGCCCCTACACGAGTATGGTGGCCCCTACACAAGTATGGTGGCCCCTACACGAGTATGGTGGCCCCTACACAAGTATGGTGGCCCCTACACGAGTATGGTGGCCCCTACACAAGTATGGTGGCCCCTACACAAGTATGGTGGCCCCTACACTAGTATGGTGGCCCCTACACAAGTATGGTGGCCCCTACACGAGTATTGTGGCCCCTACACGAGTATGGTGGCCCCTACACGAGTATGGTGGCCCCTACTGGAGTATGGTTGCCTCCTACACAAGTATGGTGGCCCCTACTGGAATATGGTTGCCCCTACACAAGTATGGTTGCCCCTACTGGAGTATGGTGGCCCCTACACGAGTATGGTGGCCCCAAAACATGTATGGTGGCCCCCTACACGAGTATGGTGGCCCCTACACGAGTATGGTGGCCCCTACACGAGTATGGTGGCCCCTACACGAGTATGGTGGCCCCTACACGAGTATGGTGGCCCCTACACGAGTATGGTGGCCCCTACACGAGTATGGTGGCCCCCTACACGAGTATGGTGGCCCCCAACACGAGTATGGTGGCCCCTACACTAGTATGGTGGCCCCTACACGAGTATGGTGGCCCCTACACGAGTATGGTGGCCCCCTACACGAGTATGGTGGCCCCTACACGAGTATGGTGGCCCCTACACGAGTATGGTGGCCCCTACACGAGTATGGTGGCCCCAAAACATGTATGGTGGCCCCAAGTTACAGTTTCCGCCACAAAATATCAGCTCAGCTAAAAAATCCGGTATCTTATATCCCTTCAGAGACACTCACATTTTCTCTGAATTTTATTGTAATTTTTTTTTACATAAATGGCATTTATTTTCTTCAAAAATATCAAAACGTTATTTATAACAAATAACTGTTAGATATTTGTTATGATACTGTGTGTGAACGTTTTTATTGCATAACGTCTATACCTGGATTGAACCTGTGTAGGGTTCTTGGAGTTGTTCTACTCCCCCAAGCCCAACCCGGGGCCAAGCTTGGCTTGTGAGAGAGTTTGGTCCAACAGACTGGTGCTTGGCGCAGGCTGTAGGCCCACTACAGCCTGGTTGGTCCGGCACTTCTTGAAGAAAACTATCCAGACGTCGGAAACGAGGCTGTTGTGTCTAGTTACCCGCGTCAGACATCTTGATCCGGTCCAGCTTCCTGCCTGAGGATTATGTCTGAGATGAAGATGCTCTTATGATCATTATATTTGGGATAAGGATGCTGTAATGATGATTATATCTGGGATAAGGATGCTGTAATGATGATTATATCTACGATAAGGATGCTGTAAGGATGATTATATCTGGGATGAGGATGCTGTAATGTAGTTCCCTATCTTGCTGTTGTTATTAATACCAACTATGACTGAAACTGTGTCTGCGGCTACAGCTGCAATTGCTTCTGCAACTCTTGCTGTTGCTACTGTAACGCCTGACCTTTCCCCAGCTGTGTGTGCTGACCTCGTGGGTGCGGGCGGGGTGGGCGTGCGGGTGTGGCCCACCATCCGCGCCTCACCCCAGAGACACGCTAACAAGCTTCAGTCCAGGTTACTCCAGGTGAGGCTATCAGGTGTGTAGGTGAGGCTGTCAGGTGTAAGTGAGGCTTTCAGGTGTAGGTGAGGCTCTCAGGTGTAGGTGAGGCTCTTGGGTGGTGTAGACAAGGTTCTCAGGTGAGGCTCTTGGGTGGTGTAGACAAGGTTCTCAGGTGAGGCTCTTGGGTGGTGTAGGTGAGGCTCTCAGGTGAGGCTCTTGGGTGGTGTAGACAAGGTTCTCAGGTGAGGCTCTTGGGTGGTGTAGGTGAGGCTCTCAGGTGAAGCTCTTGGGTGGTGTATGTGGGGCTCTCAAGTGGGGCTCTCAGGTGGGGCTCTCAGGTGAGGTTATGTGTTTAGAAAGGAGAAATCGAGAGGATTACTTGACGCAAAATCGACCTCATAACCTTAAATTGTACAAACATCGCTCTTAATGTCCATTCCCACTTCGTTATCCACAGATCAACTGGGACGCGGAAGAGATCCAAGGAGGAGACTGGGTGGGCGTGTTCCAGCAGGACCCCCGCCCACCACACACCAGACCTCCGCCCACAACGCCCACAACGCCCGCACCCGCACCACACCGCTTCTGGCAGATGCCACGCCCCCTTCACTGGGACACGCCCTACGCCTCCCGGGGCACCATCACCACCAATATCACACAGCCTAGAGTAGAGGTGAGAGAGAGAGAGAGAGAGAGAGAGAGAGAGAGAGAGAGAGAGAGAGAGAGAGAGAGAGAGAGAGAGAGAGAGAGAGAGAGAGAGAGAGAGAGAGAGAGAGAGAGAGAGAGAGAGAGTTGAACAGAAGCGTATCTAGAAGGTAAGATGGAAGGTACTGTAAGAACACAAACATATGTAATGAACCACAAGCAGATAAAACAATTAAGGCTTCTTTGTTAAGTCATTGCATTAGATAACCGACAGAGGGAAAGCCGGTGCTCAGAAGCTGAAACTCGATCCTGCAAACTCCTCTTTAAGTAAATGCACCTTGACACCTAACTGGATCAAATGTGTCAAGACACCTGGACATTCCCTTGTAGGCAGAGGGTCGTAGGACCTTGTAGAAAGATCCTATACAAACATTGCCGTGTAAGCTGTCCTCCAGCGAGTCTAACAAAGCTTAAAAAGTGAGGTTCCTTCTCTTTCTCCTCACAGCTTAGTGTACTGGCCCGGGGTGGGTGTGTGGGGCTGTATGTCGGCTTCACTAGGAATGGTGTGTGTGTTGCCTCAGAGTGCATCGCTGCTCACCCGTCCTGGCTCTTTGACAACAGGTGACGGCTTTTCTGTATCCTTTTGTATCAAATATATATCTATATACACATATAATAACATTGTATTCACAAATACACATATTTTGAGCACTTAGATGAGATTAATTTAACATGGGGTCTCAGAATGGAAATCGGGGGAATCAAATCGAAAAAAAACTGAAATATGCTGAATGAATCGGCTTTTGCTTGCCAAAGAAACTGTTGAATAAGCTTGGACTCTACAGTATGGGTTGTGTGGTGCAGGCAGGTGGTCGGGAACCGGTCGTTGAGGTCGTTGGTGCTTCCTGGCACCCACAACGCTGGGTCGTACTCTCTGAGGGACAGCGAGGATGTGGTCTCCGCCTGGGTCGTCTGTCAGGACGAGGACATCGTTTCACAGCTCCTCTACGGCAACAGGTCTGTCGTCTTCACCTGCTTGATGTTGTTTACACGTAGGAGGGAAAATGGTTTAGTTAGGGGTGGTGAGTGAGGAAAGGGCGGTAGACAGGTAGGGGAGGAGAGAAAGGGGTAGACAGTCAGGGGGCACTGAGGAAGGGGTAGACAGTCAGGGGGCACTGAGGAAGGGGTAGACAGTCAGGGGGCACTGAGGAAGGGGTAGACAGTCAGGGGGCACTGAGGAAGGGGTAGACAGTCAGGGGGCACTGAGGAAGGGGTAGACAGTCAGGGGGCACTGAAGAAGGGGTAGACAGTCAGGGGGCACTGAGGAAGGGGTAGACAGTCAGGGGGCACTGAGGAAGGGATAGACAGTCAGGGGGCACTGAAGAAGGGGTAGACAGTCAGGGGGCACTGAGGAAGGGATAGACAGTCAGGGGGCACTGAGGAAGGGGTAGACAGTCAGGTGGCACTGAGGAAGGGGTAGACAGGATCAGTAGGACAAAAAAAAGAGTGATGCTGGAACAGTTTGGAGCAAATATATACTCCTGGTATTCCACCGACTGATATAACCCATCAAGGTCAATATAGAGCTATATGGATGCGATAAGCAAAGCGCCGCTCCTCGTTATCAATAATTTCGTAATGAATTACTATTTTAAACAGGACATTTCCCATGTAGATTATAAGCATGATTGATATAAAATCATTTATATAAAACATACGTTATATGTTTATGTTAAACTTTGCCTGTTCTCTGGCTCCATATGTAAACCAAATAAAATCAATTATATTTATTATTAGTGCATATATCCAAATTATTTATGGCTTCAGAGATCATCTACTATACTTTCTAGATTCGTAATTGAATTTTTTGTATTCTAGTTTCGTTTCTGAGAAATATCACGATATTAAATGGCGTTTGTGAGCTATGTTGTTTCTTGAGTCACGTGTCTGGGCTGAGGGCTCACAGTTTGTGATGATTAGGGATACGCAAAGCCTTAAAAAAAATGTAAACAAAACCGCTCTCTCATTAGGTTATTTAACGATGCCTTGGACACGATTGCCAGCGTTTCAACATCATCATATCATTTTCATTCGATAATATTTTCATATGAGTTATAATGACGAAATTCTCCATTTTTGTTCTTACTGCAAGGTACCTGGACCTTCGTGTAGCCTACTATCCAGATACATCAGAGTTGCTGTGGATCAACCACGACCTGGTGCGCTGGAGGCCGCTGTTGGAGGTCCTGAACGCCGTGCGAGGCTTCCTGGCCATTTCCCCGGACCCTGTCATTATTGACGTCCACCGGACGCCCGTAGGCTTCGAGCTGCCGGAGGCCAAGCCCCTGCTCCTGTCCCTGATGAATGAAACTCTCGGCTCCCATTTTCTTCACAACCGCTACGGATCACTGGTTTCCCTCGACCAGATTTGGAAGATCGGAAAGAGGGTCATATTTTCGTTCGCCGACGCTGACGCAGCAGACAAGCAGGACTGGGTGTGGCCGCCCCTGCCCCAGGCCTGGGCCAATGCTCAGATGCTGGAGGACCTCCGGACGTACTTGGACGCCCAGATGAACAAGCGCGTGGGCTCTCCTCGGCTGTGGGCGGCGATGGCCCACCTCACGCCCACGCTATGGGACATGATCTTGCGTTCCCACGTGGGCATTCGCGGGCTGGCTGACCGGGTCAACTTCCCCATCTCGCGCTGGCTGAGGCAACGCTGGGCCCACATGGCCAACATCATCGCTTCAGACTTCTTCAGGGGAAATGATATCATCAATGTGGCCATTAGGTAAGGCTAGTAGTAGTAGGCATCCATCAGTCTCAGGAAATTATGGAGTTGCGCTCTGGTTGTCGGTCTGGAGTGGCCTCACCAGGGCGCCAAGCCAGGGTAGGTTGATTCGGGGGAGAAGCTGTTACCCATGCAGCAGGTCCCCCCCCCCCCACCCTTCTCCACAGCGCTGAAAGTCTGAACACGTTAGAAAAGCTAACGTGTTCAGTAACCTATACACGTAAAATATATAAGAATATAATGTTGTTTTATATTCAATGCCATCGCAAGATGCCAATGACCTGCATTGTCATTATGTCAACTTCTTGAGGGTTTTCGATTCTTAATTCTCACTTTCAGGTTCTTTCACCAGCACTGCCACTCCCCCCCCCCCCTTCCTAGCTGTCGAGGATGGGTTGTCATAGTAACACAAATAAATCATAGTTGTTATCAAATTTGGAATTACAGGTACACATGATACAGCTGTAAGTGGATAGAGGTGATAACATTACAGTACATCAACAAACCTTGTATAAATTATATATTGATAGATACATTCTATAATGTATAAATGTAATATTAATAGGAATTCTATATCAATAGGCACATTGTATATTGATAGATTCATTGTATTTTAATAGATTGCAGGTTATTGATTCATTCTAGCGATGTATTACTAGACATCTGTCACTACTAATGCAATATATATAACGGAGTATCCATCTTGCAGAACCAACCTGGCCCTCAGTGTGTGCCGACCCCCGCAGACGAGGAGGCCGGTGGTGCCTGTGGTGGCTGTGACGCCCCAGAGGCATCCTGTCACCTTCAGGCGATCAACGGGGTTCCGGATTGTGGCCGAGACGAGACGACCTGTGTACTCGGAGATCACCACACAGCCAATGACCTCGTCCACCACCACCGCCCTTCCTTCCCTCTGGAGTCACTCCCCAGCCTCGTCTGAAGATGGCCTGCCGGGAAGCAGCACCTCTCCGACAGTTGCTGTCCACGAAGGAACTAAATACAATAGGAACTTGTCCAATGATTCCACTTTCAAAGCGGCAAATGCTCAGTCAGACGCTGCAACTGAATCCTCTCTCCATCCATTAATACGCATTTTGGCAAGTCCCACCGATAGTGCTACATTTAGGTCCGCAGAAAACGCAGGCCAACACGAAAGTAACCAATGGAGTGATTTTGGTGATTACACAGGTGTCGCGTATGAAACCTCTGAGGAATTGCTTTATATCAGCGAACCAAAGAGGAACATTTATGATCCTGCTAGCGAACAAGCTTCGACGGTTGAGTCTCAAGGTCCTACAGTAGAGCCTTTGCCAGCATCTATAGAGCTTTTGCCAGCCTTTGCTAGCATCTATTTCAATGCTGGCCCAGTTAAACCTCTAAATGAAACTGCCAGTCACAGTGAAGGTGATAATGCCGGTGGATGGTATGCTGAAACTGAACAAAACACTACTACAAGTGCTATCACCAAGGAAAATGCACGCGGAGAAGGTAGACATTTGGATATTTCTGAAAAGCATTACTTGCCTAGTACTGACGAGGACAGGGAGATGCAAGCACATCCTTTCAATCTGACTGTGGAAAGTTATGTTGGGATCCCGTCTACCACAAGTGTGGACCAGACCATGCAGAATGCTGAGACAAGAATCTCGTCAATCACAAGAGATTCAGACCAGAGCACACGAACACCAGACTTAGATACCTCGTTGTCCATAAGGAATGTCAGCCACAACGTCACCAATCATCTTCAAGTTCAAGAAATAAACTCAAGTTCCCAGCCTCTTCTGGAAATCAATAACACAACTTCAGTTTCTGTTGACATTAGGAAGGATAACTCAACCATAACTCACCTTCCAGATAACTCTTCAACGCAAATTCAATCACTAGAACACCTTTTAACACCGAATTTCTTTTTAGAACACTTTTCAGCACAAACTCCAGAACACCTCTCTACACAAACGTCAGAACACCTCTCTACACAAACGCCTGAACACCTTTCTACACAAACAACAGAACACCTCTCTACACAAACAACAGAACACCTCTCTACACAAACAACAGAACACCTCTCTACACAAACAACAGAACACCTCTCTACACAAACAACAGAACACCTCTCACACACAAACGTCAGAACACCTCTCTCTACACAAACAACAGAACACCTCTCTACACAAACAACAGAACACCTCTCTACACAAACGCCAGAACACCTCTCTACACAAACAACAGAACACCTCTCTACACAAACAACAGAACACCTCTCTACACAAACAACAGAACACCTCTCTACACAAACAACAGAACACCTCTCTACACAAACAACAGAACACCTCTCTACACAAACGTCAGAACACCTCTCTACACAAACAACAGAACACCTCTCTACACAAACACCAGAACACCTCTCTACACAAACAACAGAACACCTCTCTACACAAACAACAGAACACCTCTCTACACAAACGCCAGAACACCTCTCTACACAAACAACAGAACACCTCTCTACACAAACTCCACATCACTTTTCCACACAAATTCAACACTTCTCATCAGAAACATCAGAGCACTTCTCATCTACTGACAAATCAACTGCAGCTTCAAGTTCACAACAACACGCCACAGTCTCGACCACTCGAACCATCAACAGCAGCGACGCCTCATAGTTCTCAATTATTTGAGAAGCAGTAGACGAGGCTGTTCCAAAAACAGCAGAGGCTACAGCTTTGTTCCAAACAGAGCAGAGGCTACAGCTTTGTTCCAAACAGAGCAGAGGCTACAGCTTTGTTCCAAACAGAGCAGAGGCTACAGCTTTGTTCCAAACACAACAGAGGCTACAGCTTTGTTCCAAACACAACAGAGGCTACAGCTTTGTTCCAAACAGAGCAGAGGCTACAGCTTTGTTCCAAACAGAGCAGAGGCTACAGCTTTGTTCCAAAAACAGCAGAGGCTACAGCTTTCTATTCTAAACCTGTCAGAAAACCCATCAGATCCTGATCAAATCCCCCTGACAACAGTGAGCAGAACATCAACAAACTTGGTGGTCTGCTCTCTGACAGGGACTCACAGTAAGGACGATCTCTCCAAATGTTACACCCACCGGCCACAGAGACTCAAATCTTTCATTCGTGTGGAGTGCAGTCACCCATTACGGCATAAGAGACTGGGCCCCCTCCATTATTAGGCTAAATTTGATTTTACGCTTTTGTTGACAACGGACCAGCAACTTAAATGACGCTATTAGACTTAAAATCTTGCCAAAACACCTCGTTATATCTTACATGCGAGAGTTAATTAAAGGTTAATGTTTAAGGGTAACCAAGCCAATAGGAGACAATTCTGGCAAGAGGTTCAGAGCATCGAATCTGTACTTCTCTTGCCAGATTAATTCTGCTTGCGATGGTATCTGAATCTTGGCACAATTAGCGGGCTTGAGATTCCGCAATGATAAGATTTCTGTTATTCATAAAGCCCTCCAAGTATTTCTTAAAGAAACTCAGCCCAGACTTGTCTCAGTCGAACATATACAGTCCAGCATTAATTAAAAAAACAGTCAGCCTAGTCTTGTTTAAGCCAAATATGTTCAGTAAAGCCTTGTGTAAGTCAAAGGTACTCATCTGATTCTTGGGCAAGTCGGACTTACTCAGCTAAGTTTTGTGGAAGTCAAATATTATCATATGATCCTTGTGGAAGTCAAACGTACTCAGTTGAGTCTTGTGGAAGTCAAACATACTCCGCTGAGATTTGTGTAAGTCAAACATACTCAGTTGATCCTTGTGGAAGTCAAACATACTTAGTTGATCCTTGTGGAAGTCAAACATACTCAGTTGAGCCTTGTGGAAGTCAAACATACACAGCAAACTGTTTTTTGGTACTAAATTTTAAATAACTTTTTTTTGTAAATGTTTCAAGCCTAACTTAACACTCTATACCTATCAAGAACTTACTCAACCTTTGTTTAAGCTCAGCCTATCAAAATTAACCTAAGTTTATTTAGTCACAAAGTCATTAAATCTAGAAAGTCGTGTTTAAAAATTTTAAATCAAACCTAATATAGCACGGCTAAACCTAACCTAACTCATCAAACCAGGCTACGGGATTGTCTGACCTCTAAAACTAACCCAGAAATAAGTAAATCTTTCGGACCCGAACGAAACCAGTTTATCCGGCTCTTCGAGACTCGCTATGCCCATTCTGGTGTGGATTTAATGGGAGCTCGTAGATCGTAGCTTGCAAGTGAGAGAGAGAGAAAAAGAGACAATGAAAGCAGTCTATATAAGCAAGCAAGTATCCACAGCATATGGATGCTGGGGATGTAATCTCCAGCATCTATGCAGATGCTGGAGTTTACAGCATCTTACCTTGTTTACACACAATGCTGAAGTACCTGATAGTGTCTGTCCCACTACCCACGGCTGATCCTGATTGCTCTCTGCCGTGACGAAAGACTGAAAGTGACAGTTCATTCCTCTTTTGCACGAATTACTGATCATTTCTCTATAGGCTTTGGCTATAAGAGGCTATTGAGAATTTACTAGCCTTAAAAAAAATGTGTGCGAAACATTTTTTCTTATATTTAGTTTAAAATTTAAAGTGAAAGCTAATCGAACTATTTCCTGCCTTCCTTTTATCATGGCAGAATAGTTCTAATGTTTAATAAATGGAATTTCTAAACCGCACTGGATGTCATGTTTGTTATTGGTGATGGTAGTGAGATGTTTGTGGTGAGGCAGGAGGTGGTGGTGAGGTAGGTGGTGGTGGTGGTAGTGGTTGTGAGCAGCTATGATGGAGGAGATGCAAGTGGTAGTGGTGGTGAAGAGGCAGAGAGGTAGTGGAAAGGTAGAGAGGTGGTGGAAAGGTAGGCAGGTGGTGTAGGTGATTCAGGTGGTGGAGAGGCAGGCAGGAGGTGGAGAGACAGTAGGTTCTGTTGTACCAAGGTGCTGGCCCACGTGCTTCAAGTCTGTGTAGCCACATTCGTAATAGATACAATCATTTATTTTTCTATCTGACCTTCCTCCTGTACATATTTTTTGTAAACAATCGCCTACAATCGCCACGTTTCCATTTGTTCCTTATTTTACACTTGGAAACGCGCGACTCTCTTTGCAACTTTTCATAATATTAATACCACCTTGAATGCAATGTATCACAGTAAAAATTCATTGTCCCAATAAATATTCTATGATATTGAAAGCTCATTCATTGTATCCACGTGCAAATTATCGGTTAATGCAAGGCGAGTATCTACACCGAAGGTAATTTGGAACGATATCTGAGTCGAACTTGATTACGATCTAAGATATCGAGTTAAACTTCAATGGGTGGAACAAGGTGGTACCAAGCTAGTAGACGATGGTACCAGCCAACAAATAAAGGGTACCAGACAACAATCAACGGTACAAGACTAAGAAACAACGGTACAAGACTAAGAATCAACGGTACAAGACTAAGAATCAACGGTACCAGGCTAAATCAACGACTGTAACTAGTGAACAAATAACTTAAAATGTTTAGCAAACGGCAGTACTGAGCTGTGAGGCTAGTGTGTGTGTGTGTGTGTGTGTGTGTGTGTGTGTGTGTGTGTGTGTGTGTGTGTGTGTGTGTGTGTGTGTGTGGTGCTGGTTGTGAGCTGTGAGGCTGGTGTGTGTGTGTGAGCTGTAAGGTTGGTGTGTGTGTGTGTGAGCTATAAGGTGTGTGTGTGTGTGTGTGTGTGAGGCTGGTGTGTGCTGTGCTGTGGGGGAACATGACCACTGATGCAGGCTCGGTCCTCTTTAACCAGTAAAGGGAAGCTTGTCAGCCCGAGTCTAACTCATAACCATATTCGAGAACTCTCCCCAAAGACTTGGTCATCTTCAAATGCTCTTTCCTCTCTTAAGATTTTCATTCGTTTGCTCAGTTTTATTCACATAATTGTCCTATATGGACCTTCAATATTTGAGACTGGAAACCCGCAGTTAACTCCTGATAGTTTTGTCGTTTAATGTAAAGTGAACACTTGGATTTATTGACCTCGCTGTGACCTTGGACTTGGCCCTGGCTGTCGTCTCGAGGGACTAGATCGATGTGGTCATCACCTGCTTGGAACACAATGGTCTGTGTTCAGCTGAAGCCAAGACTCAGTACTTTTTCTAATAGAGATCTAAGACGAATGTCTTGATGAAATATTTATATATAGCTATGGAATTTCTAGTAGTCACGCCAAAGAAGAGCCTCCTGTACACTTCACAACTGCCAGAGCCGTTGGGATCCTCCACGGATCTATTAGAGGACCATTAGAGCACGATTAGAGTAAGTTACTACCAATAAATTGTTTAATATATATTTTTTGTCAATACTTTGGTAATTAATCCTGCAGGCACTAAAATCTATGCCATTCACTCAAATTATCGTAGATTCGCACTCGCGCTTCTAAAGTACAACTCTCTCTTGTTCTTCCAACCATCTATGATGACCTACGATAATGAAATGTTGGTACCAGCGCTATCGTAGACAGCATCTAATTCTACGATCTCCGTTTCTACTTCCGCTGTCATCTGAACTACGAGAAACCCGCATTGAGAGTTAGATTAGCTCTTGTTACGAGTACCCAACCACTTGGGGAAGACGGTAGAGCGACGGTCTCGACTCATGCAGGTCAGCGTTCAATCCCCGACCATCCAATTGGTTGGGAACCATTCCTTTCTCCATCGTCCCATCCCATCCCAAATCCTTATCCTGACCCTTTCCCAGTGCTATATAGTCGTAATGGCTTGGCGCTTCTTCCTCATAGCTCCCCCTCACTCTAATTACGAGTTGGAAAACACATACAGAAAGTCTGGCACTTTCTTGCTAGACTTTCTATAATCTCTGCGAGAGCCTTTGGGAATTTGTGGGAATAGAAGGGAATTATCAGGAGAAAGCGGCGAGCCATTACTATGTAGCACTTGGAAGGGGTCAGGATAAGGATTTGGGGATGGGACGGGGTGAAAGGAATGGTGCCCCAACCACTTGGACGGTCGGGGGATTGAACACCGACCTGCATGAAGCGAGACCGTCGCTCTACCGTCCACCCCAAGTGGTTGGACAGGAATTTGTGGGAATTTGCTTTCCCAGAGGCGAGACAAAGGGCGAAGCTGGGTGGTGGTGCGCAGGTGAGCAATAAAATATTTAGTGAATAAAGCTACTGATGTTATATTTGGAGATGGCAAAATCTTGTGTAGATATTCTGCGCGAGAGCAGTGAGGAGATATTAAATAAGGGTCGATCAACTAATGGATATCAATAAAGGATATCCATCATAAATCCATCATAAAACTGCCCGAAACGCTTTGCGTAATAGTGGCTTTAGGCATTGTATGTACTAGCTCTATCTATAAATCCATCAACTTTTGTATCTCACCTTGCAAGTATGTACTTTACCCGAATAAATATTGTATTGAATTTGTATTTGTATTTGTAAATATATTGATAGCTGGGAAATACCAGGCACGTGTATAGAATATTTTTCCATCAGTGATAGAAAGAGAGGAACAAGTGAATACAACTTTGAGAGTGGGAAAGATGCAGTTCGTAAATGATACTGGAAAAACAAACCACTCTTATCTATGGCCACACACCAGGAGGAAGAGGTCTGTTTACCAACAGATATCAGGCTACAGAAAAGAAGGCGGGTACACAGAGAAAGTTT